ATGTAACTTAAGTAAACAGCATTTCATAAGTTACATGTCTGCTTTAAAGCCTTATTGTACCAGTTTGGGTAAAATAAGCAGAAAGCTGGGAATTTAAAATTTCTTAAGGAATTTCTGCTGAAGATTCTTTACCTCCAAACCATCTCCCTGATTCTTAAAGTTTGCAGGAGAGAGCTGTGCTCAGTAGCTTGAAATAAGGTGGATTCAGGATATTCCAGGAATTTGGCATGTGATATATTAGCTGGCAGAATCCTGATTTGAAGTGCAGGTGTTAGGAGTTCAGCAGGGCATTGGGCAGGAGTCCAGATAACCATGCATGCAGTTTTTCAGCTTTGTTTAAAGAAATATATAAATATATATGCCTTTATGCCCATAAAGGGAATCTACTCATTAGCTGCCATAGGAAACTCCCTTCTGAAGTGGTACTGCTTGAACTTCATGGAACTTGTAATGTGTTCATTGATGATTGTAGTCATTAAGATACCAGCTTTTGTGACTTTCTCGGAACCCTTTGAAGCACTGAGCTGTGAAGCTTCATGCTGCCAGGCCTTGCACTTTATTTATGTCAAGCTTGGCATTCAAATCTGGTGTTCTGTGTAAGGTATTAGCGTAGGTTGAAGAATGGAAATACCCTCTGAAAAATAACTGAACGGGGATGCCCAAGGCTTCCCGTAGATTGTTATATATATAAAAACATATATATGTGTGTGTATGTGTATATAGGTATGCATATGTATATGTACACACAAAATATATATACACATACATGTGTGTGAATATGTGTGTGTATATATATACATATATGTGTCTTTGTGTATGTGTATATATATGTAGTGGGGGACTTCTGCCATTTTATATTAATATAGGAACAAGTGGTGTGCTGAAAAACTGGGTTGCTAAAACGCAGAGGTACTTCAAAAGTCAGAACCACAATTTAAATTCAAATACAGAAATTTAATCCCTCTCCCTGTGAGCTTTTGGTTGTTTGGAGATAAATATTTTGTCTCTTACTTATTGTATAAATATGCCTCACTTTAGCTTGTTTTGTAGTTGCAAAAATGTCTTGATATATGGATATCTTTTAGAGGATTATTAGAGTTAACGCATCCCATGACTGATTGCAAGCAACAGAAGTTTGAGGGTCTGAGTTTTTTTTTTTTTTTTTTAAAAAGCCATCTAGCTGACTTTCTTGCTCATTTTTCCCCTACTTATGGAAAAATAGTTGCATTTTCTCATCTGTGTTGGTTTCTTTTTGCTGGTGAAGCTTCATCTGGAAGCTAATTGCAGCTCCCTAGCGTGTACTCCTGCTGCTAAACCTAATCCAGTACCCACAGCTGCTTCGGGTTAACATAATAATATATAATTCAGATAAAAACTGGCTGATTAACCCAGCTGGCCCTGTTCCAGTGCCACGTGTTCCAGGTGACCCTCCTTGAGCAAAGGGCTTGGGCTAGGTGATCTCCAGAGGCCCCGTCCCACCTCAGCCGTGCTACAAGTCTCCAAATGAGCCCGTAGTTCCTGGCCTCAAGCTGCAATTTTCCAAAACTTTTCCTCCACTACCCGCTGCTTCTCTGAAGCCTGCACCAGGCAAGGAAACCCAGTGTAAAATCCATAAGAGTTCAGTGAAGATTTTGGCAGTTTTTCGGAGAGCCTGGCAAATAAGAAGCGTGTGGCTGCTTCTCTAGCAAGGACAGATCTAGGCGATTCTGAACAAATTTGGAGCATGCAAAGTGAATTTAAATAATGATAATTTAAATTTCACTTGATCCAAAGGAAAAAAAATAATGTAAGTTAACTTTGATATCAGTGAAAGGGATGGGAGTTGAATGCTCTTGAAGAAAATACAAGGTAAGGTCATTATTACAGCAGCTGGTTTAAGGCATTAACAAAAAAAAAAAAAAGGAAAGGAAAAAGAAATTACTGAAATGCTGGAAAAAAAGAAAAATTACTGAAATAATCCAGTAGTGATTTACGTATGAATGGTATTGTATGCTACATAAAATCCTAAACCTACTTCTGTTTTGAATTTGAGCCTAAGCCCTTGTATCTGAGCACACTGATGATCGGGACTACTGAAAAATAAGCTCTTTCTCCAAGCAGAGAAAACATCTAGGATGCGTCTGGCACTTGCACCCAACAGTTCTGCTTTTCTCACAGCAAAAAGCAGAGGGGAGCTACATTTGTATCAAGTCCTTGTTTCATATATTGGGGACCATCACATTTTTATAGCTGAAAGAGGAGCACAGCATAAGCAGCTGTAAAAGGAATTTATTGATATTATACAGTAAGTGTGAATGAGAAAGCTGGTTATCTTCTAAGTCTGTAGCTGTATATACTCGAGCCACAGCACTGCTGGAATATCTTGGATTTGGCCTTAGTGTATGTGTTTTGTTTTTATTTCTGCCGGCCTTTGTCAAAATCATGTGGTTTTCTTTGCTTAGAACATGAATATCTGGTTATAACTAAATAACACAATGAAGAAGCTTTGGTATTCTTCAAGATCTTGATTTAGACCACTGGAGTAAACTTGGTTGCTGTGTTTTTGGCATGGTGCTAAGTGCGCTCGTACGTGATGTGGAAGCAGGATATATGTTGTGTACGGAACGACACGGTGCGTTTGTGTGCCAGGTAGCCATGTCCTTCCGTAGAAACCCTTCCTGCAGCTCCCAAAGTGAGATTGCCCCATGTCACACACTTGTGTTGTGACCTAATGGAGAGACGCAGAGAGGAGCTTGCTGAAACGCCCAATGGCCCTCTTGGGTGTTTGGGTTCCCTTTTAACGTCCCTAGAAGATGCTGCAGGCTGGAGAGGAGGCAAAGCCCCACAGCAAAAGTCATCCGCAGGTTCTGGTCTTCCCATCAACTCCTCTACCTCATTGGGAGCTTTCCACGTTGAGAAGCTGCTGAGAGCATCAACCACTGCTGAGACTGGTGCACGGAGTCATCTTCTACCAGCCCTTTCCCAGGAGGAGCCTGAGGCACCTCATGGCTTGGCTGCTCACCTGGAGCTCCCCACTTTCTGCTCGAGGGGACGTGATGTTTTTATCATCGCTTCTGGAGAAGAAGAAAAAAAAAAAAACAGATGGAGCTCTAGCAACTTAGGAGTAGCCCTTTGCAGAAGTTGTTCAAGTTACGTCCTGCGTATCACGGTGGCAGTTGTGCCAAGTTCTTCGTTATTTTGATCCTAGGGAAATAAAAGATGAGCTCCACAGTGTCCTCTTTGCCTGCCCATAGGCAGAGGAAGAACAGGGCTGTCCTGGAGAAGTGGTTGGCATCTTCACCTGGAGGTGGGCACAGAAGAAGCCATAGACCTTTAGCTCTTGTCTTCAGCTTATCATGTAGTGGAATGTGCCTTTCGTTTTCACAATTTCCTCTGACTTCAGGGGAGCAGAAGGAATCTTGATGTCAGACACCAATGAAGGACGATTTAAACTGGACTTTGTGGCCACCTTCTCCTACCCGAGGTGACAGCATGAACACTAGAGCAGCGCGGCAGGCCGTGGTGTTCATCCATTGTACGTGACTCCCTGTGTGTCCGGACGTTGCAGATGCTGAGAAGTGATGAAAAGGTGACCACTTGGGCACATATTTAGCTCTGCGAGAAGCTCCAGAAAATCCTTTTTCATATGGATGTCGTGGCTTTTTAATTTTGATTTCTTAAGCCCTCTTCTCTCTTGTTTCAGCATCTCCAGCACGTAAACCTCCTAGAGCGGTCGCCTCCATAACGCTCTTGCGCCTGAAGCGGATGTTAGGAGATGTTCTTGGGCTAACGCTAGAAGCGCGTGGAAGCGCGGAGGCGCGCGGCAGGCGCGGGCCCTTTGCCTGGCCGGTGTATTAATAGTTAACTTGCAGCCTCGATAAGCTGAATCTCTTCCAGGTGACCGCGGCGTTCAGCTTCCTGCGGTTGCCGATGTGCAAACAGGCCCTCCTGCCTCCTCCCGGCACCGCTCCGCGGGAAGCGCCTTGGCTTCCCGAGCCAAAGACCAGCCCCGGGCCCTGCCAAGGGCAGGAGAAACAGCTCCTGGCTGCTGCCCCTCCAGCACGTGCAGCCTGCGTGCTTGGGAAGGGATGCCTGAGAGTCGAGGAGGTCTAATTTTTGTAAAAAAGAGCCTTTTAGAAATGATTTTTCATTTCCTGCTGCTGTGCGGCGTGTTGTTTTAGTAGCGTGGAGCAACGTGGTCCATGGGCCCGAGCTCCAGACTGGGCTTTGGGAGGTGATGAGTTCACGCTTCGGGCTTTGCCGTTGTGCTTGGGTTTTATTTTTATTTTACCTTTGCTCAGGTAATTCGGCCTGTGTTGCCTTCTGCCTCTCATGCAAAAGGAGTAAACACAGCGGAGAGCCCCAGGTGTGACTTAATGTTGGAGCAACGGGGTAAAAGCGATGGGCATCCAAGTGCCAATACCTGTGTAGCTGCTTGATGCAGGGAAGCGTGCCTGGGAATGAACTCTAGTGCATGGTCCCCTTTCTATAGTGATACATTTTCCTCCCCATGGCTACAATTTTGGAGATCTCCTAAAGTCTGAGTAGGTTTTTTTAGCAAGCTTTGTCTTTTCAATTTATTTTTCCAGATTGGAGAATAGCAGGGGCATTTGTTCTGACTTCTCTTCGGGTGAAAATGGAGTCCTTATTTTAAAGTAGAAAAATATTTTAGCAAAAATCATTTTAAAAAGGAAAATTAAAAGGTGCATTCTTGGTACTGCAGTATAATCCTGTACAAATTATAATGCTGTATTAAAAAAAAAAAAATTATCTGTTCCCCTAAATGCAGTTTTCAATTTTGTCTCTATAAACTGCCACTGGATTCAGTTGCTCACGAAGCTCCAGTTACTTCTGAGAGATGCACGCTCAGAAGTAGAGGTGTCTTTTTTTTTTTTTTTTTTTTTTCCCCCCCCATTATGTGAGGTGGTTGTTGTGGTTTAACAGTGGGTGTGTTTTAAATAAACTATTTTTTAAACCATTTTTTTTCTCTCCTACTCCATCCCCTCCTCCTCCCGTTCTAGGCCTCTCCGTGGACCATTCCCAGCTCTCTTCCTTTACGCTGAAGAGTCCCCTGAGTTTGAACCCGGCCTTTCCAGTGAATTTGAACTCAGCCGGCCAGGGTTCATCTCCCCTTCTGAGCCCTGTCCTGAGCGATGCTGGTGGTGCCAGGATAGAAGATGAGGATGAAATGAAACGGAAGGTAAGAAAGTGGCACCCCCAAGAACTTAAGCAACAAGGAAAAAGCTGTCATTTCATGTGACGAATGGTGCTTTTTGTGCTTCACAAATTGTCTTTTAGTTTTCATTTCTTAAGTGTCTATTTCAAATCCACTTGATGTGTATTTGATATCAAACAGTAGCAGGGCCCTAACTCTGTTGTATTAGAGTGTAAAAAATCACATTCCCTTGTGTTAAAAGTGTCAGAAAGAGCTGAAAGCAAGTGAGCTACCTGAGATGATTTTCACTGAGATAGTGCACTGAAAAGCAGGTAGGAAAGATAGCTTTTGGCTCTGGAAATTGGTGTCTTTGGCTGATTAGCTAATGAAAGATTGTCATGTTGTGATGTTAGTCCTGGCCTTATCTTTGCTGTGTGGTGTCGTATTTAACGTGAGTCAGTTGATTGGATCGCCCTGTCATGCGGAGCCTTGTGGAACGATTTAATTTACTGTCATTGAGAACAGCATGGGGCTCACATTGTTAACGTCTAAGGTAAGTTCTTCTTGGGATCCTAACTTCTATCCGTGTTCTCGCCCTGTGTTTTACACCAGACCTCCCGGCCCTTCTTTTTCTGAGCATAGCAGGACCTTTAGAGATGTTCTGAGGTGTCTGCTTTTGAGCTGCAATGGTCCTAAGCTGCTTCAGCTTTCCCACTAGCAGGCATTGCATTTGACTTCTTTTACACTCAACCAGGCATCTGTGGTGACCTGGCTTATCCAGAAGAGCAGCCTGTGTCACTGGAGCTGCCCGCTCCATTGCTAGGACTTTGCTGAGTGGTGGATAATGCCCTGGGCCTCACGTGAGTTTGGGGCTTCTTCTCTGGAAACAGACAAGCAAAAATGTCTGTGACATCTGCAGGTGCAAGAAATCTCAGAGCAGGAACAACTCTGTGTCCTCAGAACGTGCTTATGTTCCTCAGCCTGACCTTCATCCTACCAGTAAATAAGAGACATTGCTTGCCTTGCCCATGAGCTCCTCAGCTTCAGTGCAGGACACTTCCATTTTGGCATTCAACCATCCCACCCTCAATATTTTCATTTAGTTATGGGGCCATGCACTGTCAGTGTGTGTTCTTTACTTGCAGTCTAGGTGGTCTTTCCCAAAACACTGGTAGCAGGGGAGGCCTTTCTGGTAGAACCTACCTCACGCTTCTGCCCAAGATGGGCTGATGCTCCCCTGAACAGGGTATATACATCCATCACCTGTATTGTGGATTCGTTATAGATAAATGCTCACAGGAGAAGGGAAGGTTTCACAAATAAGTGAGAGCTGAGATAAAACTGAGGTTGTTCCTCCCCACATACACATGGGCCTTCAGCCTTGCCTTCTGCATTAGACTTATCAAGGTGGGGCTGCTTATCAAAGACCATAAAAATGAAGCTTTTCAGCTCCATTTTCAGGTTTTCAACCTGGTTAGGGCACAGTTAAGGCCAGCAGGTACTTGTGCAGCTCTAAAAACTCCAGGAATTTATGTATATGGACACAGTATCAATATGTAGTTCTACACCAAATCACCAGGTACTAGCGAGTTATTTTTTAATAGGTAAGGCTGAGCCTGAATTCTTTTGTAAGCTGCCATATGGCTCTGTAGCTTTTAACGTTTTTATAGGTTTTAAAATCACGGCCATTTATAATAGTTGTAACGTGGAGAGAGCAAAGAATAACTGCACTATCTCTTCAAAATGCTGAAGTCCAGGCCTTTCTGCTTCATTTTCCAAGTCTAGTATTTCAGTAGATCGAGTTTTCTTTCAGGCTGACCTGTACTTACTGATCTGTGAAAGTTACACACCTCAAAGGGAATTATTTATTGCAATTGATTTTTTTTCTGAGCCATATAAGGCTGCAATCTTCATTGAGAAACAGTATTTTAAGTGGGGGGGGGGAAGTATGCTGAAGCCAATGTGACAAGTTAAATTTCACAACTACTTTACTGTAGTTATACACACAAAAAAAAAGGGAAGAAAATTTTGCGGTGGTGCTTTAATTATAAGGGTGATGCTGCTATAATTCTACTTAGTTAATCAAGGCCTAATCGAGGCCTATGTAGGTATGAGCTACTTAGATTTATGTTCAAGACCTTGCCTGATATTTTCAGACAGACACCTTTGTGTGTGCTGCAATATTCTTTTACTAAATATAAGACTGCATTGCATTATTTCTCAGGTAGGTTGGGCTACAGGCTCGTTTCATAGTTAACGAAGGCAAACAAATAACTGAAATGCCTCCAGCCACCCCTTTTGACTGAACACTTTATAGCAAATTTTAAACCCTTTTGCTGTGAGCTTTCTGCTCCCAAACATTGTGGGGGTGCCAGGTGATATTTTTTGATAGTTTGGTGACATTGTAATGTAGATGCAAAACAGACAGCAAGCTAAAATAGTCTCTCAGTTCTTGCACTGCACAGTGCTGCTGGTGTCTCGTTGTCTTTTATTTTTGCCCGGCACGTTTCTACCTCTTGCCCCTTTTTTTTCCAGTGGGTCTCCATCATTTGCCTATTACTTGCACTTACTTTTTTTCGGGCACAAGCTGGTTTCCTGTCAGTGCCTGAAGGTTTTTGACAGATCCCCTTTTGCACCGGTGGCTGCATTGCTTGTCAGTGCAACTGGAAAACTAAAAGTGAAAATGCGCTATGTGAGGCTTGCTTTTTCTTTTGCTAGTACCATGCTACTTATTATTTTAAATCATTATGTACTCAAAGCAGCCTCCCAGTGCCTTGGACTAATGCAAGACCAAAAAACAAAGTGGGAGAGGGCCCTGAATTTCAACAGGGAGCAATTTGGAAAGTAGCAAGAAAGTGAACAAAAGAACAGGGATGCAACAAAGAGAGAAAAAGGGAAAACACTTGGGAAATGAAGAGACTTTGCACATCAGCTGGCGAATAAGGTGGGAACTTGCAGAGCTGCTCCAAGGTAATGAAAAAGGATGCTTTAAAGTAATCAAAAGAGGCTACAGAGAATGATAAAGAGCAAGGCTCTGGACGTGCATATTTTTGCCTCCTTGTTTAAGGAATAAAACAACCTGCAATGATATTTTTGAGAGCAGGGAAAAAACAGTCAAGCAAGGATCATAGCAGAAGAGTCTCTCCCAGAGTGCTCGAGAAAATGCTCGATGACTGGCATCACTTGTTTCAGGAGTTACTCTCAACTTTCTTAAACATGCCAGAGAAAGCTGTTGTGGGAGAGGAAAACGATACCCGCTCCACCTGGAGCTACGTGTTGGGGCGTTTGGATTTGTGCTGAGGATTAGAGCATTTGTATCAATACAGCCCTTGGATATCAACACTTACGGATTGCTTGGTTTCCTTTCAGCGCTATCCAGCCGACAAGGCGTACTTCATAGCAAAGGAGATTCTTGCCACAGAGCGGACCTATCTGAAGGACCTGGAAGTTATTACTGTGGTAAGGGTTTAGAAATGTCTTTAAAGGTCTTCAATGTCTTGAACGTTTTTAATAATTAAAAAGAAACAGTGTGTAAAACACAAAATGCCTACAGTTACTAAATAACTCACACGATGCTGTGAGTTTGATGAAGGAGCAGCTGCGGATGTTCTGATATAAAAGCGGTTGTGTTGCCTCTGCTGTGGGCATGTTCCAGCCATTCAGGACTTTAGTGATTTAGAGCAGTTACAAAACATCTCAGCACTGGATTAGGAAACCTGCTTGTGCCTGGAGCCCATAATGAGCCTCGTGTTGCAATGTGTGGCAAGGCAAGACATCTTCCTTAAATAGCTCTCCTTTCCTCCTGCGCTTTCTCTGCACGGCCGCACTTTCCTCCTCCCTACATCCTGCAGGAGCAGAAATGATAGAAATGTCCCAAATACGTACTAAAAATAATAATTTGTGGTGTTTCTTGCAGTGGTTTCGCAGTGCGGTCCTCAAGGAGAACGCCATGCCAGAAGGCCTGATGACGTTGCTCTTCTCTAACATTGACCCAATATATGAATTTCATCGGGGCTTCCTGAAAGAAATTGAGCAAAGGCTCTTGCTGTGGTGAGTGTTAAAGTCAGATGCGTGGGCAATAATCAGGGAGAGCCTTTTTCCCTCCCCTTACATCAGGACCATGTGCAACCTATACTTGAATTGGTGTTTTTGCTTAAGTGGAGCCAAGAAAAAAAATGTTTGAATATATGGGGATTTTTGAAAAGTGACCAAATAATTTTTGCAAAGTCCCTTTTCGAGCCCTGCCTTTTCCATCCTGCTTCTTCTCCCCCCCCATAAATAAGCTTAGCGTTGTTCATATATTGCAGAACAAATTATTTCTCGTTTCAGAAAATGCATTTGGTCTTTTAACCTTCATGTTACTTTCTTAAGACCTGAGGCATAACAATAAATACCATTCAAAAGGAGATATTTTACTCCTCTTCAAATGATGTTAATATACTGGCTTATTTTTGCTCCCTCCATTTCTGCATTAGTGAAGTAAATTATTTACTCTATACCTGACTATTCTGACTCACTTTTTGCAAAGCTTTCTGTCCTGGAGAGGACAAACTAGATAGATAAGATTAAATAATGCTTTTTCTATGCTTTTCAGGGAAGGAAGAACGAGTGCTCAGGTGAAAGGAGATTATCAACGAATCGGAGATGTCATGCTCAGGAATATGCGTACTCTAAAGGTAGGTAAAAGATTAGAGTAATAAAATTTCAGGGTTACAGATTCATTTTTTCCTGTTTTCAAGGGTGGTAGTTTGAGCTCCAGTGTTTTTCACTTACCTTGAAGTGATTTACAGACAGTTATCGTTCGTAAACCAATTAAAAAATAAAACATAATAGAATATGCACAGCGAGGTTGTGTTCCACTGTTGCTCAGTTTACCACCTGCGTTTACACTGACAAAAGACCATGTGTTTGTTCGTTACTGATGGACTGACAAAGAAAAATTGGTTTATTAATTAGTCTTAACTGTGTCTTCCTATACTGGCACAACTCTCTTCTATGCAGATATTGTTCCATAAGTTGGTTGAATTCCAAAATTTAAGTACTTTTTAACTGCAGAGTAGCTTGTTCTAAAATGTAGTCACTTTTATTTGGTAAACAGTTTTGTGAGGCAGTTAAAATTGTGCTGCAGTGACCGAATAATTATTCCACTATAGCCAATGTTTTGAAAAGAAGTACAAAAACACAGATAGGGAAATGCAGAGACTTGGCTTCTATTTATTTATTTAAAACTTCTCCATTATTAACTTGATCTGCCATATGATAAGGTGAAGAGAACAACTGGGTAGATACCAGATTTTTATAATACTGTTTTTTCTTGAAGCAGTTAATACACATGATGATGTTAGCATTGCTTTTTGCCAGCATTGATGACATATGTGGCATCTTGGATTATATAATCTTGGTTAGAGCCACATAAAGAGGAGTGCAGATGCCTTTTTGTTGTTGTATTCACTATGAAATCTGTTAAAGACCACTTTGCTTTGACACTAGGAACTTTCTATATGATTCAACAGGAGTTTACCACCTACTTGCAGAAGCATGACGAGGTCCTGACTGAACTGGAGAAAGCAACGAAACGCCTAAAGAAACTGGAAATGATTTATAAGGAGTTTGAGCTGCAGAAAGTTTGCTACCTGCCGCTCAACACATTTCTGCTCAAACCCATCCAGAGACTGATGCACTACAAGCTGATCCTGGGGAGGCTTTGCAAGCACTACACGGCCGAGCACCGGGACTACGCGGATTGCCGGAGTGAGTGAGCGCTGGGCAGAAACCCGTCCCTGTGCTCGGGCAGCAGTCTGCATGTTCTCATCCCGTGGCAGACAGCAAGCGTTGCATCTACAAATTCAAACTCTCTTTTTCTCCATTTGGAGTTTTATTTCTGTGTGTAGTTCATCTTTCTGACTCAAATCTTGCTACTAAAGGAATGCTCTGATTTTAACATCCTGAGAAAAGAAAGAAAAAGGAAAACACCGAATAGAAAAGCGGAAAACTGACAGGAGTACCTGCAGCTTAATTTCCAAGTGGCAGCTTAATTCAAACAATGTTTAGGCTATGTTTTATGATAAAAGCTGCTTCCTGGGTTTCGTGCGCTCCGCGCTGATCTTGTTGGTGCTGTTTTGCTTTCAGATGCCCTGAAGGAAGTCACGGAGATGACGTCTCAGCTCCAGCACAGCCTGATCCGCTTGGAAAATTTCCAGAAGCTGACAGAGCTGCAGCATGACTTAATTGGTATTGATAACCTCACAGCACCTGGTAGGGTAAGTAACATTGCTTAATTTTTAGAGCCTTTGTATTATTATTAATTCTTATTTCCAAGGAAGTTCATTTCAAGAATGTGTCTACAGCCACAGCCTTTTACTGTATATTTTATGGAATGATATAAAGGCTTTGCTGAATTGTCTTTTGTAATTGGTCACATTTACCTTTTGGTGATGTTCCTGTGGGGAACTAGGACAAAAATCCTACTGCTTAGACCCTGGGTACAGTTTCCTGCTTGCAGTACAGCAGCTGCTGGATCTAAGGAGATGGTTGGCCCTGTATTTGTGTGGGAGGCAGCACATCATGCTTTGTGCTGCCAGCTCTGCCTGTGTCCCTGTGCTGTGATCTCTTCTTGTGGATGGAGATTACATGGACACCTGAAGGAAAGGCATAACTTCGCATTGAGCAAAACTTTTAGCAATTACTGCTGAGCATGGAAGCATCCAAACTCTGTGCATTTGGGAAAGATGGAGCTTTGTCTGACTCTTTTCTTTTTCCTCTGCAGGAGTTTATCCGGGAGGGCTGCTTGTACAAGCTCACCAAGAAAGGTTTACAGCAACGGATGTTCTTTCTGGTGAGTGCTGCTTCTGCTTTTCATAAACCTAAAATATTCGAGATAAAGCTGGCATGAAACTGTTTTCATGTTGGGATTTTCTTATATGCGGCAGGGGTGGTGATAAAGCAGCCTATAATGGCACATTTAACAGAATTTTTGAAGTTAATTGCCTCTGGCTTATAAACATGATTACTTTTAAGGGAAGCAGACAAATCGATGAAGGGCTGGTGCTTTTCTCAAACAACAGGTTTTATAAAGAAGTCAAAAAATACTTGGCACTGACTATGGTCTGGAGAATATTGATTGTATCTCCCTTCATTTCTCAGTTCTCAGATATGTTGCTCTACACAAGCAAAGGTGTTACAGGGACAAACCAATTCAAAATTCATGGACATCTTCCTCTGCATGGCATGTTGGTAAGTGGCTTCAAATTGCATCACCGTATTAAAGAAATGACTTTGCTGTCTGTCAGGTCAAGACATTTATTTCTTCAGGGCTGTGATGACCAAAGCAGCAACCTGCTCCAGAGCAAGTCAAAGCAGCTTTGCCATCTTTGTGGCCTCTGGTGCTGCTGACTGTGGACTTGGACTTCCAGAGAGCCTATGTACTAAACACAGAGCTGTGTGTGGGAATAAGCTTGTTCATTCCCCCTTGTCAGCAAGACAGCTGGAACGCCCCTGTTTGACGAGTCATTGCTGTGAAAAGACCATCTGAGAATATGGATTTATCCTACTGTGTTTTCCCTGCTTCTCAGCATAAAATCAATCCCCCCCAGCATGTTCTAATGCAGTTGTTCTTTCTGTGTTTGACTTGCAGCTAATAGTGCTCGACCCACCGGTGAGTAATGAGCTCCATCCTGCTCAGAATCCTCCTTTTTCGGTCCTGTTGGATGTGGTACCATGCAGCTGCAGATGTGCCCTTAGAAGAACACGATATAGATTTTCATATAGAGCCAAAATAGACTTGAATTAGGCAGTATTTATTAAGGAGTAGCTGTTTGCACTTTCTGCAATTGTCTCGTAGTCGTCTTGTGAGCAAAAGTCCTACCCAGCCCTGAAAAGGAGAGTTTTGAGGATTTATCAGTCACTGAGCAGTGATGAGAAAAACCTTTTATTTTTCCTGCAGGTGGAGGAGAGTGAGAACGAATGGGCTGTCCCACACTGCTTCACTATCTATTCAGCACAGAAAACCATAGTAGTGGCAGCAAGGTAATGTTAATTTCCTTAATTGCTTGTGGTTAGTGCGTGTCTGCTCAGAAGAGTTAGAGTTTGATTACTTAGTGCAGAGCCAGGATGGTGTCTCATGTGTTCCCTGGAAAGGGCAGCTTTAAAACAGATACACGACACTTCCCAATTCGTTTGTCAATGTTGTTTTCCAGGAAAGAGCAGCTTAATAAGCAAATAGTAAATTATTCTTTTCAGTGTAACCTTTCCCTAGACACTGAGTTTAAGGCGAGGAGTTGTCCCCCTCACCTAAGCTCTCGGGTTCAGCTTTAGGAGGGTTTCAACATCTGCAGTTCCCTTAGAAAGCAGCCGGGGTTGTGTCCCTTGGGAATGCAGAACTGGAGCAGTAAATCTCAGTTTTTAATTTTATAGGGTTTGTTTCTACTAGTTAATAGCTCCTGTTCTTAAAAAATAACTATTATTGAACACTTGTCAAGCCAGGTAGGCAGTGGCATAGCAACTGGTGCTTTTTGTGTGCTCACATATTCAGAAAGCAAAGTTTGCCTTTTTTTTCCCTCTTTTTTTTTTTTTCTTCCTCTTATTCCAGTCTGGGACCTCAGGGTTTTTAAGGTCAACAATTTCCAGGCAACTGTTGAGCCAGAAAGTGCCTGAAATGGTCTTAAATTTGGAAAAGTAAATGTAGGTTGTCATAACTTGGGAATAGTTCAAAGGGATTTTTTGCCTTTGATTTCTTCCCCTCCCTACCTATCAGAAAAAAAAATACGGCTGGCTTAGACCATGCTTGGAGTTTGCAGTCTAAATGGAAAACTTTCTGGAATTTATGAGCTACTACAAAAAAACAGGTGGCTACAACAAAATGCTCCATCAAATACTCCATAGAAACGTATATGACACTTTAAACAAAACCTGTGCAGGCAGGGAATGAAGCAGGAGGGGGAGAAGAAATGCTGAGGCCATGTTTGCTTCTGGAAGGAAAAACCTTGTGCCGTTGCATTCCCATGAGAACGGGGATACCAAGACTCAGCTGTGCAACCTGTGATGGGATCTGTGTGAGCTGAAAGAAACCCTCATCTTCCTGCACCCTCCGTATTTGCTTGAGATGGAAGATAAATCGTGCATCTCCTTTGAAAGCTGATTTCAGGTTGCTTTTCATCCTCCGAATCGTCCTTTCCAGTGTGGTCATAATCCTGCATCTCCAAAGGGCTCTTTTTAGTGTGGAAGTGTGAACATGGATTTGACATAGCTCTGAAGCCCTTTAAATGAAGAGCATCCCTCTGCATGAGGAACAGCGATGATCCACGCTGGGTAGTTACTCCTCAGAGGATGAACAGGAGATTTCACGTAGTGCTTTTTGCTCTTTCTTATTCAGCCCAAGATTTAAAATGATTACATTAAACTTTTCCCAGGGGGCTTGAAAATAGCAGGGAAAGTGATAGGAAATGAGTTTCCTATCAATCAGGAAGGCTGCTTTTAGTCACATTTCTGAGGAATTCTGATTTTCTTTTTCAGTGGAAAAGGATGCCTTTTCCTACTGGGGTGGAAGTTTTGCCTTCCTGGAGAAATGCAGCCCTGTGATGCAGTTTTGGGGCCAGGGAGGTGACATTCATGCTGTTTCGTCTTGCAGTACCCGCCTGGAGATGGGCAAGTGGATGGAAGACCTAAACGTGGCGATCGAAATGGCCAAGAAATCCACAGAGAAGTCTGAGATGCTTCTGGAAAACTCCGTGTGCAACCGTTCCAACAGTAAGTAGCTCTTCTTGCCTTCTTGAACAGAGTGAGGTGAGATTCCTCCTCTTTTTTGTTTTCCTGATGGAAATTTGATGACATAAATACTGTATCTTATCATTCTTACAGTATTGGAGAGCTCTTGTCCTGTTTTATTCAGAATGAATATGCTTGTCTTCCTAGCCTGGTGTTCCTGGCAGGCTAAACCCAACAGAGATCCTCCAGCTGCCGAACAGTTAATTTTATTGGGTCCTCGTTTATCACTTACCTATCTCTTTTCTCCATTTAGCAATGTAATACAATTTCTTGCCCAGAAAAGTTGTCCTTTCAGTCACATCTGTAGCCCAGTGGTCCCGTCCCTGTCTTCAGTGTTGGCATGGATGTGAAGAACCACACAATATCCCTCCTTGGAGGAATTTTTCCAGTTCCTCGCTAACAAGGGAATCTCTTCAGCCCCTGCTTTGGAATGAGTGCTATAAAATGCTCTTCTCCTGTTAAGATCAAATAGCAAAATGCATGCAATACTGAGTCAGCAACCCCGGGTTGAGTGACGACTTCAGACGGGCTCATTTTCAAGCTGGCTCCTAGCAGAC